ACAGTTTATATAAAAAGGAGACACTTATTTATTTATTATTATTAATAAAGGAGACAGTTTTATATTATTAGAGGAGAAACATCATAATATAAACCCATCAATTGATCCTATTATGTATAAAAAAAAGGAGACACAGCAGCAGCAGCAGCAGCAGCAGCAGCAGCAGCAGCAACAGCAGCAGTATAAGTAGCAGCAGTAGGTGCAGCAGCAGCAGCAGTAGTAGGTGCAGCTGCTGCAGCAGTAGGGATTAAAGGAGACATATATTAATAAATAAAGGAGACACATAAGGAGACACATAAGGAGACAAAAGGAGACAGCAGAGGAGACAGTAGAGGAGACAATAGGAGACAGCAGAGGAGACAGCAGAGGAGACAATAGGAGACAGCAGAGGAGACAGTAGAGGAGACAAAAGGAGACAGTATCTAAATCCTGGTGGTACCTTATGTGTCCCTGGCCCTTATACCAGGAGACAAAAGGAGACAAAAAGAGACAAAAAGAGACAAAAAGAGACAAAAAGAGACAAAAAGAGACACATAAGGAGACACATAAGGAGACACATAAGGAGACACATAAGGAGACACAATAAAAGGAGACAGTAGAGTAGACAAAAGGAGACAAAAAAAAAAAAAAGGAGAGAGTACCTGAATCCTGGTGGTACCTTAAGGGTACCGGGCCCTAATACATTAGCGGGTATCCTATACTCTCCTGTTAGGTTAGATAACCTCCATAAGGGGACAGATCCATTCTGTCTCTCTTTTCCTAATAAACATGTACTGCAGCAGCAGCAGCAGCAGCAGCAGCAGCAACAGCAGCAGCAGCAGCAGCAGTAGCAGCAGCAGCAGCAGCAGCAACAGCAGCAGCAGCAACAGCAGCAGCAGCAGCAATAGCAGCAGGAAGGGGACATTAAGAGGAGGAAGGGGATAAGGAGACATATACATATATACACACACACTGATGACTATATAAAGGACACAGATTCCTGTTGTTGCTGCTGCTGTTGCTGCTGTTGCTGCTGCTGCAGAGACAGGAGACGGACAAGGAGACAACAACACCAGCACCAGCAGCAGGAGCAGCAGCAGCAGGAGCTGCTTACGAGGAAGAGAGACGGAAATGTTTAAGAGAAAGGAATGCCGCCTTCTCGTCCTTCGTAAGGGAGTCGTATCCCCTCTTGGGATCCGATCCCAGCACCCACCCCACATCTATAGGAGCGAAGCCTCCAGCAGCAGCAGCAGCAGCAGGAGCAGGAGCAGCAGCAGGAGCAGGAGCAGGAGCAGCAGGAGAAGGAACAGGAGGGGTATAAGATGAACAAGAACGACGCTGCTTTTTTATTACTCCTTGCTGCAGCAAATACTGACGATGCTGCTGCATGCGCTGCAGCAGCAGAGACACCTCAGTGTCTGTATCACATTCAGATAACTCTATATATACATCATCTTCTCCTTCTCCTGCTGCTGCTGCTGCTGCTGCTGTTGCTGCTGCTGCTGCTGCTGCAGCTGCTCCTGCAGCTGTTAATGAGCTCCCCTTCCCCAATGAATCGCTCATCACGTACTAATGATGTCTATTATAAATCTAACAAAATAAATTAATTACCCGCTGCTGCTGCTGCTGCTGCTGCTGCTGCTGCTGAATAGGATTATCTTGCCGCCGCTGCTGCTGCTGCTGCTGCTGCTGCTGCTGCTGCTGCGGATGTATCTAGTTGCTCCAGGGGACACACCGCATACTGCTGGTACCAAGGAAGTAGCTGTCACCTCATGGCAATCCCTCCGCACGGATCGCCAAACCCTAAACCCTAAACCCTAAACCCTAAACCCTAAGGAAGCAATAACAACATGGATAGACTAGTAACAGCAGCAAGGGGCCCCTTAAAAGGAGAGATGGGGGCCCCTGCCCCTAACAGGTGTGTTGAGGTGTATGTACAGGGGGGAGTGACCCCCTGAGACCGCCATACATACTGCTGCTGCTGCTGCTGCTGCTGCTGCAGCGGGAGCAGCTGCTGCTGTGTTGCTTCTGTTGCAGCTAAAACAATAAAATTAATTATACATCTTCTAAAGGACAACCCTTCTTAGTCCATCACAGCAGCAGCAGCGGCAGAAGGTCCCCTTATACCTAGGGCAGCAGCAGCAACACCAGCCCCGCATGCAGCTGCAGCAGCAGCCGCTGCTGCTGCGGCAGCGGCTACATGCAACAGCAGCTGCTGCAGCTATTGCTGACACCAAAAGACTTCCTTTTGCTGCTTTCTCTCTTTCTACTAGCAGCTGTCTCTCCGCAGCAACACGCAGGGGCGCCCGGGGCCTCTGGCTGCCTCCTACGACTGCAGCAGCAGCAGCAGCGGCAGCAGCAGCAGTTACGGCTGCTGCAGAGGTAGCATATATACAGCCTAGAGAGCAGCAGAAGCAGCAGCGCCTTTTGTCAATGGTACAGTTCCGGCCAGGGCTTGCTGGAGGGCCTCCCCGCGCAGCGACAGCAGCAGCAGTAGCAGCAGCAGCTAGGTTGCAGCAAAATGCAGCAGCAGCAGCAACAGCAGCACCAGCTACCTCCGGGGCCTCCCCCTCAAGGTCTAGGACCTAGGGGCCCCCCGGGTGCCCCTGATCTGCAGCGGCACATGGGGGATCGCCACAGGGGGCCCCTTGGGCCTCCTGCTGACTATGCTGATGTGTACAGACAGCAGCAGCAGCAGCAGCAGCAACAGCAGCAGCAACTCCACTGGTCGCATTCGCGTCTTATGCCAGCCCCTTCATTTGTGTCTCCTCCTGTGCAGCCTCCTGTATGGCCAGGCATGCAGCAGCAGCAGCAGCAACAGCCAGCAGCAGCAGCTGCTGCTTCCGCTGCTGCTGCTGCGGCGGCGGCGGCAGCAGCTGCTGCTGCAGTAGCAGCAAACAGCAACAAGGGCCCCCCACCATACAGACAGCCAGGAGACTCTCTTGGGTACCACCGCAGCTACAGCAGCATCAACATAGGCCGAGGTGTATCTGAGGGGGGCCCTAGGGGGCCCCCCAAGGCTGGTGTACCGCTGCAGCAGCTGCAGCAACAGCAGCAGCAGCTGCAGCAGCAACGGTCTTGGCAAGATAGCAGCAGCAGCACTGCTCCTCTTTCTATGGGGATAGAGCGGCAGAACACTGCACCTGTAGCTTCTGCTGCTGCTGCTGCCGCTGCCGCAGCAGCTGCTGCTGCTGCGGCTCTGCAGCAGCCGCAGCACCAGAACTATCAACAGTCTATGCATTCGCAGCAGCGCCAGCAGCAGCAACAACAGCAGCAGCAGCAGCAGCAGCGTCACTATAATATGCCTGGTGGAGGGACTTATAGGGGCGGCTCTTATCCCCCTGTAGTTGATAGAAGAGACTCGAGCAGCAGCAGGCTGTATATGCAGCAGCAGCAGCAGCAACAGCAGCAGCAGCAGAAGCAGCAGTTGGAGGGAGGCTGGATGGGTGGCGGTTGGGGAAACACCCGAGGGAGTGCAGCAGCAGCAGGACCAGGAACCGCAGCAGCAGCAGCAGCAGCAGAAGGGACAAGCAGCACGATGCCTTTCTTAGAGGGCGTTGAGCTGTCTGATGAGCTCGCGGGTATAGCGGGAATAGGAGGAGGAGGGGAGGGCCTTGACGGCAGCAGCAGCAGCAGCAGCAGCAGCAGCAGAGGTTCTTTCTTCTATGACCCTCAGAGAGACCCGCGTCTGCAGCAGCAGCAGCAGCAGCAGCAGCAGCAGCAGCAGCAAGGCCACCGTTCCCGTATGATGCGGCCACCGCAGCAGCAGCAGCAGCAGCATCCGGGTGTGGCTCGATCGTCATCTGCCGCTACTGCAGCAGCAGCATCTGCAGCAGCAGCAGCTGCTGCTGCTGCAGCAGCAGCAGCAGCAAAGAAAGGAGACAACAGCAGGAGACCTGCTGCTGCTCCCTTTGCTCTTGACGAAGGGGCATTAATCTTAATGAGACCTCAAGATCTAGATCTAGATAGTCCCTTACCTCTTGATGTAATTTGCTGCTGCTGCTGTTGCTGCTGTTGCTGCTGCTGCTGCTGCTGTTGCTGCTGCTGCTGTTGTTGTATTTAGTGCTGCTGCAGGAACTGTATAGCTGCATCTGCTGTTAGTAGCACCATACATATCTCCCTTGCTGCTGCTGTCTGCTGCTTCTTTTTGCTGTCCCTACATAAGCATAACCCTGCATGCATGCATGCATGCATGCATGCATGCTTGTGCATTTGCTGCATCTGCTGTTGCTGTTGCTGCTGTTGCTGCTGCTGCTGCTGCTGCTGCAGGATATATACGATTGTGGGGAAGGAGGAGACAATTGGTGTATAATTCCTTCTGAGGGTTTACGAGCAGCATGGAGACTCCCTATAGAAAGGATTAAACCCTTTCTTCTTATTGATAGATTAGCACCAGAAGAAGAACCATGGATCACAGGTACGAGGGTTTAGGGTTTAGGGTTTAGGGTTTCTAGGGTTTAGGGTTTGAGGGTTTAGGGTTTAGGGTTAGAAATATCATTCCGTGTACTCTCCTATCCCCATCAGCAGGAACAACATGTCTATATATGTGTGTGTTGCTGCTGCTGCTGCTGCTGCTGCTGCTGCTGCTGCTGCTGCTGCTGCTGCAGGAGCGAATAGGGTATGCGTAATAGGTTTACCTGAGGATGTAAATACAGCACAGGCTGCTGCAGTAGTTGTGGGGTGTTGGATACGAGCCCTGGGATCGTCGTATCCAGAGGAGACAGTACAGGAGGAGACACTTCTTAGTCGTGATAGTAGAGGAGGGACTCTTATAGGCGACACCAGCAGCAGCAGCAGCAGCAGCCAGCAGCAGCAACAGAAGCTAGCGAGTTGTGTCTCCTCTCTGTGTCCTCCGCTGTCTCCTACTGATGAATTAGCTGATCTCTTTGAGTTGTCTCCTGGGGGACAGCAGCAGCAGCAGCAGCAGCAGCTATTAGGAGACAGTAGCGGAGGAGACACTTTTGTCTCCTCATCTGCAGCAGCAAGCAGCAGCAGCAGCAGCAGCAGCAGTATGGGGACACGGCAGCAGCAGCTGCTGCAGCAAGCCCTTGGTATACAACAGGTGTCTCTTCTCTTTGGTACAGACACCACAGCTCTTAATTCTTTGCCTCCTGCTGCTATACGTCAGCCTACTGCTGCTGCTGTTGCTGCTGCTGCTGTTGCACCCGGTGCAGCAGCAGCAGCAGCACCCACCAACAGCATGCCTGCTGTTTTGCTGCTGCAAACAGAAAACGAAGAAGCAGCAAAACGTCTATGGCTTGTCTTCTCGTCAGGAGAATGCATGGTTAGCTGCTGCTGCTGCTGCTGCTGCTCCTGTTGCTGCTGCTGCTGTCGCCCCCTTTTGTTTCTGCTGCTGCTGTATGCTGTACTTGCTGTTGCTGCTGCTGCTGCTCCTGCTGCAGGTGTACGGATTTACGCTAGTAATGCTGCCTGACCCAACAGGCCTTCGTGGGTTTTGCGAGGCAGCAGCAGCAACATTTTCTCCTAACGATTTGCATGCACTGCAGCAGCGGCAGCGGCAGCAGCAGCAACAGCAACAGCAGCAGCAGCAAAAGAAGAAGAGTGGGCCCCCTGTCTCAGCAATACTACCATACACAACAGAAGAAGATCTCCCGCTGCTGCAGCAGGTGGCCCCACAGCTGCGTGCAGTTGCTGCTGTTGCTGCAGACTCCTGCTGCTGCATGCTGCAGTTCGGGTGTATGGATGCAGCGCTGCAGCATGCTGCTGTGTCTTGCCGATTTAAATCCCCTGATGGTGGGGCTGTGCTCGCGCTGCTGCTCGCAGTTAATACTCAGCAGCAGCAGCAGCAGCAACAGCACCAGCAGCAGCTACAGCAGCAGCAGCCACAGCAGCAACAGCAACAACAACGCAACGCGGTCTCCGCACTGCGTTTACTCCCTGCGGCCATTCGTTTACCGCCACCCCCTGGTGCAGCAGCAGCAGCAACAGCAACAGCAGCAACAGCTGCTGCTGCTAACAGGCCGCTGCAGGACACCGAGGGTCTTCCTCCTGCCTTTGCCGAGGCTGTTGTTAGTGCTACGCGTAGCTTTAAGCCAGCAGCAGCAGCAGCAGCAGAAGCTGCAGCAGCAGGAAAGAAGCCGAGTCTCTCTGCTGCAACACCGGTAGCAGCAGCTGGTGTGTCTAGCAGCAGCAGCAGCAGCAGAGCCTCGACGCAGCACCAGTCTAAAGCTGCTGCTGCTGCTGCAGCAGGAGAGCCTCCAGTCAAGTTGATCTCCGCAGCAAATGCTGCTGTGGCGGACCGCAGCAGCAGCAACAGCAGCAGCAACGTCGATATTGTTGCTGCTGCTGCTGACACTTCTGCAGCAGCAGCAGGAACCCCCAGCAAAACAGCAGCAGGGGCATTAAGCCGTCCTGCAGCAAAGTCTTCTCTATCGCGCCCTGCGCTGCAGCAGCACCAATCTGCTGCTACTCCTGCTGCTGCTGCTGCTGTTGCTCAGAAGCAGCTACCCCGCAAACGGCTGCGCCGTCTCCTCACGAGCAGCAGCAGCAGCAGTAGTAGCAGCAGCAGCAGCGGCTCCAGCTCAGAGGACGAACAGGGCCCAAGTACACAGGGCCAGAGCACTCGTCAGCAGCAGCAGGACCAGCAGCAGCAACAGCAACGAAAGCAGCAGCAGCAGCAGCAGGACAAGCAATCTCAGCAGCAGCAGGACAAGCAGCCGCAGCAGCAGCATGACAAACAGCCTCAGCAGCAGCAGCAGGACAAGCAGCAGCAGCAGCAGGAGAAGGCTAGGCTGCAGCCAGCAGCAGCAAAAGCATCTCCTAAGGTGCCGCGGCTACTTGCTGCTGCTCGTCGTGCTCCTGCTGTATCCTCAGCTGTAGCAACAGCAACAGCAGACACGGGAGCGTCCCTTCGTGCTGCTGCTGCTGACAAGGCTGCTGCTGCTGCTGAGAAGGCAGCAGCAACAGCAACAGCTGCAGTAGCCAAGGGAACAGGGGACACACAAAACACCCAAGCAGCAGCAGGTGCAGCACAGGCAGCAACAGCAACAGGAACCCCAGAAAGAGCAGCAGCAGCAGCAGCAGCCGACGCAGCAACAGAAGGAACCGCAGCAACAGAAGCATCAGCAACAGATGCAGCAGAAGCAGCAGCAGCAGCAGCAGCAGCAAAAGAGGCTGATAACCGTCGCCGTAAAAGAGGTGAGGGGACACCTGGTCGTGCTGATGATGAGCCTGAAGCAGCAGCAGCAGCAACAACAGGAGCAGCAGCAGCAGCAGCAGCAGGAGATACTACAGCAGCAGGCGCTGCTGCAGGAGATACGTCATCAGCAGATACACAAGCAGATACAGCAGCAGCAACAGCAGCAGGAGGAGGAGGAGAGATAAAAGGAGACAGGGGAATAGGAAGAGGAAGATGGAGGGGGGGGAGTAAGAGGGCACGGAGAGGGAGGCCCCCTGGGGCCCCCCTTAGGGTGTCTCCTCGTCTTGCAGGGGAGGCCCCTATATTAGGGTTTGGTATGTGGGCCCCCCCTAATTGGAATAGTTCGCAGCCTGCTGCTGCTGCTGGTCCTGCTGCGGCAGGTGCTGCTGCTCCTGCTGCTGCTAGTGCCCCTGCTGCTGCAGGCTCTGCTGCTTCTGCTGCTGCACAAATGGCGAACAATACAGAGCATGCACACTCAGAGGCAGCATGGATTGATGCCAGCAGCACCAGCAGCAGCAGCAGCGACAGCAGCAGCAGCAGCAGTAACAGCAACAGGGTACCATTTAGCAGCATGTCTTCTATGGATACCCTTAAGAGGCAGCAAACAGCACCAGCCAGTAGTACCCTTGGGGGCCCCACTGTTGATTCCTTGGGGGCCCCTGACCCTCCTGGGGGGCCCCCAAGCGCTACTGCACCTCCCGCAACAGAAACCATCCCCGATGGAGCAGCAACAGCAGCAGGGGAAGCAGAAACACAAGCAGCAACAGCAGCAGCAGCAACAGCAGCAACAGCAGCAGCAGCAACAGCAGCAGCAGAAGGCGACGCAATTGAGAAGCGATGGAGTCGTGGCTCTGATGGTCTCCCCTCAGGTAACTACACCAGTATAAACGAACAGCAGCAGCAGCAGCAGCAACAGCAGCAGCAGCAGCAGAAGCGACAGCAACAGCAGCAGCGGCAGGGTATATGTGTGCATGCATGTTTGCTGCAGGGTTTAGCCGAGGGGGCGCAGGGAGACGACGGCGTGGGGGGAGCAGCCGCAGGCCTAGCGATGCAGGAGACACCAGAGACAGCAGCAGCAGCAGCAGCAGTTGCAGTAGTAGTGGTACAGACAGCAGTAGCAGCAGCAGCACAGATGGCACAAGTAGCTACAGCAGCAGTAGCAGCTGCAACACAGATGGCAGCAGCAGCAGTAGTAGTAGTACGGACAGTAGCAGCAGCAGCAACAGCAGCAACAGCAGCAGTATTAACAGTAGCAGCACCAACAGCAGCAGCAGCAACAGCACTAACGCCAACAGCAGCAGTATTAACAGAAGCAGCAGTCTTGTGGTAGCAGCAGCAACAGCAGCAGCAGCAGCAGTAGATGGGGGCCTCCGTCGTTGCAGCAGCTTAGAGTATACAGAAAAGGGTACAGTTGTGGGGCCCATTGCTCGTCGTGGTGTAAGAGGACGGCCTCGCCTTAGGGGAGTAGGGGGGGCCCCCCGGGGATCGGGGATCGTCTCCAGGGGATCGGGGATCGTCTCTAGAGGTGCTGGGATCGTCTCCCGGGGATCGGGGATCGTCTCCAAGGGAGGCGGATCCCAGCGCCCCTCCTCCCCTGGAGGCGTAAGACGCTCGCAGCGATTTGCCTCTGGTGCAGGTGATGCGGAGGACCCGTAGCCACCTCCTCCTCACCTGCTGCTGCTGCTGCAGCTGCTGCAGCAGCAGCAGCAGCAGCAGCAGCAGGAGCAGCAGATAAGACTCTTTTGCTACAGAAGGCAAAGGGATATGTGTGCAGTTGACGGTTGTTTATTTTAGTGTCTCCTTTTCTTTCTTCTTCTTCTCTTGTAAGTGTCTCTCTTTTTAGGTGTCTCTTTTTCTCCTTTATTACCCTTTGTTGCTCCTTTTAGGGTTTAGGGTTTAGGGTTTAGTGTTTAGGGTTTAGGGTTTAGTGTTTAGGGTTTAGGGTTTAGAGGGTTTAGGGTTTAGTTTTTAGTGTTTAGGGTTTAGGGTTTAGGGTTTAGGGTTTAGGAGCAAGGAGACAATAAAGGGATAATAATAAATAAATAAGGATAATTAAGGAAAAAAGAAGAAAAGTAAATAAATAAATAAATTATTTATATTATTAAATATATAGAGAGGTAAAGAAAAGTAAATAAATAAATAAATAAATAAATAAATAAAGAAAAATAAATATATATTTATGTATAAATATATATATACATATATTCTTATACGTATACATATATACATATACATATATATACGTATATTATTACGGTGTATACAGAGGAGGAGGAAATAAAGGATATTTACCTAATTAATTAGGTATTATTTATATAAATAAAAAGAAGAATAAAAAAGAAATAAATTAATTAATTATTAAGGGAAGAAAAGGAAAAGAAACAATACGCATGGGGGGCCCAACAGCAGCAGCAGCAGCAGCAACAGCAGCAGCAGCAGCAGAGGCGGCGAGACAGAGGAGGGAGGAGTTATTTATTAAGGGAAAAAAAGGAAATTTAATAAAAATAAAAAATAATTTATTTATATTTATTTATTTATTTATATTATATTTAATAAAAAGGTAAATAAAAGAAAGAAAAGAGTCATATAACCTGCTGCTGCTGCTGCTGCTGCTGCAACAGCAGCAGGCGAGGCGGCTGTGGTCTCGCTCGAGCAGCAGCAACAGCAGCAGCAGGAGCTGCCTATACACCCGAAAGCTGTTATTTTTTATAGTGTATATCTTCTTAATTTGTTGTATAAAAGAGACAAAATAAAGAAAAAAGAATAGTAAATGCATGCATGCAGCAGCAGCAGCAGCAGCAAATACAGCAACAAACAACAACGGCCTGCTGCTGCTGCTGCTGCTGCTGCTGCTGCTGCGAC